GTAAAAGAAGGTGCGCTGCTTCCCCTCCCTCCTCCCTCCTCCCCTTCCCCTCCTCCTCTTTCCCCTCCTCCCTCCCCCCTCCTCCCCTCCCCCCTCCCCTTTCCTCCCCTTGCTCCCTCACTCTCTATTCCCTGACATCTTTGAGTTATTGAAATGCCCACGGTGGAAACAGCACCACTCTGAGCCTGCACACACCTGGCTCAGGGTCCACCGTGGGACTTCAGTCCTCATTCAGGACAGCCCTGAGCTGTGATTTAAAAACTAGAGGCCCGATGCACGAAATTCATGCAAGGGGCTCGGCCCTCGCAGCCGCAGCGGCTTGCCTCAGCCCTTGCAGCCCCAGCTTCCTTCGGAAGGTCGTCCAGAAGGACATCCAGAAGGTCGTTTGGCTGTCCAGTCTAATTAGCATATTACACTTTTATTATTATAAACTAGAGGCCTGGTGCACGGAACTCGTGCACGGGGAGGGGGGGCAGTGTCCCTCGGCCCAGCCTGCACCCTCTCCAATCTGGGAGCCCTCGGGGGATGTCTGACTGCCGGTTTAGGCCCGATCCCACAGGCAGTCGGACATCCCTCTCATAATCTGGGACCGCTGGCTCCTAACTGCTCACCTGCCTGCCTGCCTGATCGCTCCTAACCACTCTGCTGCCGGCCTGCTCCCCCCAACTGCCCCCCCTCTGGCCTGATCACCCCCAACTGCCCTTTCCTCCTGGCCTGATCACCCCTAACTGCCTCTGCCTCAGCCCCGCCACCATGGCTTTGTCCTGAAGGATGTCCAGAAGGTCTCCTGGTCTAACTAGCATATTACCCTTTTATTAGTACAGATAAGAGCTTGTGCTTTTGGTTTAATGTTGTGAGAAATGCTCACCTGTCCCAATACCTGACAGACGTGTGGCGAAAACGAGCCCTTTAATACGTTCTTGCAGGAGCGGGTGTCGGACGGGCACATGGAGCAGGGATCACAGACTGTTTATCCCGAGGGTGCGAGTCCCTCCCCCGGCTCCTCATTGGCTGAGCACCTGGGTCACCTGTTCCCTCATAGGTCGCCTAGGTCTGCTCTCTCCCATTGGGCCATTTAAGAGGATGGGCTGAGGCTTTTTCCAGTTGCCTCCCCCCCCCTCCCCCCACACCCCCTAGTTGAGGTGGACACCTCGGGAGTTTCCTCCATGATGCTGGCCCACGCCCACAGTTCTTTGTTCGTACGTCCTCTCCCCTCCTCCCCACATTCTGTGTGCCCTGGGGAAACTCCGTGACCGCTTCCATCAAAAGCCGCCATGCTGGGGCGGACCACAGAGGCCCACTTCCCACAGTGCCGGGTGCAGGGCCCTGAGCTGCCTTTCTCTTGTCTGGCCACTGCTCTCCTCGCTCGTCCCTCCCCTAAGCTCTCTAGCTTCCTGTAAGTTGGACCAACTGGACTTGGAGAAAGAACTGGTTTGACTCCACCTCCCCCACCTCACCCTGCCCCGCCCGGAGCCCTGAACTTTCTGGCAAAGTGCCTCAGGGCCTCGCATCCCTATTCCCATCCAATGGCTGTAGCAGCCTCATCCCTCTCCCTTTGAATTTGAATCCACGGATTCTGACTTTTCCCCTGGAAAGCTGCTTAACCTTCTTCCTGTCTAATTGTACCCTCCCCACTTCCTGGTCCTCAGCCTCCTCCTTCTGTCCCTGAGCTGGGTCCTGGAGGGGCCTTGCTGGGAAGCACCCATTCAAGGCCTGAGTTTCCTCTTCCTTGGGCTCCAGGCTCTTTGCTTTGTGAGGTAGCCCCCCCTGGAGGAGGATGAGCCTCCCTTTTAGGCACAGGACACTCTTCCAAGCTCTGGAGGGCGTTTGGAAGAAACGTTGACACCAACTCCCGGTGAAGGGGACCCGCTCTCTGTGTCCCGTCAGAACACCCACAGTCCCCAACCCGGGGCCCCTGCTCGCGTGTTCCGGACCTCGCTGAACAGCGCCTGCTCTCTGCGGGAGGGTCCTAACTGCTTGCTTTAAAGAAAAACCCTCACCGTTGGTAAAGAAAGTCTTCCTAACGCTTGGTTGGTAAATTGAATGTATGTAACTACATAGGACATATATAGGTATAGACACACTGAACACGTGTGTTTGAATACTGTGTGGATGCGTGTATGGGGAGTCATTAGTATTCTGTGACTTCGGTATATGGTTTCTCCACCCACTGGGCCCAGTTGGCGTCATCACTCTCCTTGTTCGTCATCGTGCCCGCCTGCTAACACCCCTCCTGGCCTCTTCTCCTGGAAGTGTGACCGGACGAGGAAAGAGGCACCTCTCTTCTGCTTTACCCTCTAGGCAGGCCATTGAGGAAGAGAAATGGGAACTCAGGAGAGAAGGTCTGGTCCGTGAGCCGTGAGCGAGAATAACCTTGGCTTTGTTTCTCCCCTCCGGCCCGCCCACAGAGAGCGCCTGTCTCCGCGGCCAGCACCGCTGCAGCAACGGGAACTGCATCAGCAGCGTCTGGCGGTGTGACTTCGACAACGACTGCGGAGACCTGAGCGACGAGAGGAACTGCCGTGAGTCCCGAGGGCCGCGTGCGAGATGTTAAGCATTTCCCGTTACACGGAGGCTGGCCCGCTCGTGGGTGGGACTGGCCATCGAGGGCAGTGACGGTCCGTCTTTTCCATCTCATGGCACACACACACTAAACCAAAAAGCCGATTTTTTGCTGATCTGACAAAAATACCTATAACTGATTCGTTCTCACCGTACCGGATGGCTATGTCGTCCAGTTGTGTTGGCTGTTGTCATTTTTATTGGACAATCTAAGGGGAAAGAGGCCAGTGCCCTGACGAATAGGAACTGTGTGCTTTAAACATTCCTTCGGCACACCGGCTGAGAACCGCTGGTCCCGGGTGCTGGCTGGCCGTCATGGTTGGTGATGCATGCAAGCCGATGGGGTTGTTTGGAGGACAGAGAACACACCTTTGTATACCCAACTAGATATGTATTATTATTTAAAACAGACCCACATAGATCATTGTAAGACGTTCACAGATAAGCATCATGTGGCTGAAACTGGGAGTCGGGCAGCTGGCGACGGGACAGGGACAGGTGGCAGTCTGGGTCACCTTTGGGAGGTGGACCAGGTGCTCCCCCAGGCGGGATGTGGCTGCCTGGGCTCCAGCACCATTGTGCCGTCCCAGTGTGGTCCGGCAGGTGGGGACATGGGTGTGTGTGCATGTAAATGTCGTCTTTGGACTGTAAATACCTACTGAAGTATCTGATTCTGTTTAACAGGATTTACAGACAAGTTTAGCCTCTTTAGTCAGTTGTTAGTAGCTTTGCCCTCTGTTAGTAATATGTTCGCACCTTTACTCAGTAGTATTTACGGAGACCCACTGTTCCATATGGGGCCCTGGGGCGTACTGGGAGCTGGGTGGGCACATTTTAAAATCTGAAGGGGAATTATAAAACAATCAGCCTGCCCTAGCTGGGGTGGCTCAGTAGATAGAGCATCGGCCTGCAGACCAAAGGGTCCTGGGTTCAATTCCGGTCAAGGGCACATACCTCGGTTGTAGGCTCCTCCCTGGCCCAGGCCCTGGTCGGGGCTCGTGCAGGAGATAATCAGTTGATGTGTTTCTCTCACATAAATGTTTCTCTCTCTCTTTCCCTCTCTCTTCCACTCTCTCTAAAAAAATCAATGAAAAAATATCGGGTGAGGATTAAAAATAAGTAAATAAATAAAGTGAGCAGCAGCGATGAATGTGAGGACAGGGAGCATGGGGCACCCAGGTCAAACTGGGGCAGGTCCTCCCACAGAGCCTGCAGGTGAGCAGAGGTGACCCAGCGTAGGAGGTGGGAGTGGCAGGTATGACAGCTGTAGGGCAGAGTGGATGTGGCCTGGCCTGGAAGTGGGTGTGGGTCGTGGAGACCTGACTAGGAACCTGGGGCCGGGGGCATGCATGGGGCTGGCACAACAGGCGTGGAGAGCTCTCAGGAGGGAGGTGGGACCATCGGAGTGAGAGGAGGAACCTTCCCTTTGGAGAGGTGAGCTGTGGGCAGAATGAATCCGAGGGGAAAGGACCAAAGCTGGGAAACTTCTCTTCCAAATGCTGTGTCTTTGGAACCCGGCAGCTCATGGCCACTGCGTTCTGAGGAGGATGCCGGAGGCTCTGGCTCTGTGTTCATCTCGTGTCTGGCAGGTGTGCGTGGCCGGCACCCACCTGCAGAGCCCATGCCGGTTCCCGGGACACAGCAGGGAGCGCCCACTCCTCTCCCCCTGCAGGTCGGGCACGGCCCATCCCGCCTGCGGAGAGCACAGCCCAGGCTCCTCGCACACCGATGAGGGAGCTTCCGAGGCCAACTCCGGGGAGCACTAGCCTCTGCCTGTGGCTTCTGTTCTGCAAACCGACACTGAGAACCCCTCTCCCTCCAGAGTCCCGGGAGGTCTGACATCTGTGGGGGAGGAGCCAGAGCGCCTTAAAAACAGTGATCAAGGGCAGCAGCATCGGAGCTGACCTGGAACGGAGTCTGTCCCAGAGCAGGCGGGAGGGGCCTGCTCCTCAGAACCTGCACTTCGCAGGCACGTTGCCCAGCCTGATGAGGCGCCCTGGAAGCAGAGGGGGGGGAATTCGGGACCTCATGGCCAGTAGCCAGGGGCTCCTCCTGGGGTCCTGGGCGTTGCAGAGACCAGCGTAGGTCTCACGGGCTCCGTGTTCCGAGAGAAAGCACCCCGGCCTCTTCAGGGTGCTGCCTCGCCAGCCCTGAGCTCTGCTGTTGGGTGAGGGTGCAGCTGGCTCGGGTCCTCCTGGTGGTGAGATGTCAGCCTGGGTGACCTTCCCAAGGCCCGAGACTTGCCTTCCGCTTGGCTCAGGCCCAGCTGGTCAGGTGTAGCCGAGTGAGGAGGTGAGTGTGAGGGACGAGAGTATGGGGCTGGGGATCAGGGGCACCCGTGCCTCTGTGCCCGGCTGTGTTTCCCCACTGAAGTGGCGGAGAGCAGCGCTGCGGGCATGAGGGCAAGTGCAGGAAGCCCGGGCTGAGGGACCCACTGTCTGGGAGGCTAGGGAGGCATCCTGTCCGCTGCTGAGACGAGGGGTGACGGAGGGAGCCAGGGGGTGTGGCCAGCACGTCCCCCTGCCCTTAAGCAGGCTCCTATGGGGTCCTGTCAGGAGCTTGGGGTTTGGATGTGCATCCCCTACAGTCTCGGCATCGTTGCATTTACCCTGCTCCCACCACAAGCTCAGTCCCAGAGAGGAAATGGAGCCTCAAGTAAGAGCCGCCAGGGACGTTGAGCGGCAGTGTTGCCACAGCTTTTCACCTTATGCTCCCCCCGGCAGGCTGGGCCACACCCTTCCTTCTACAGCTGCTCTCCCCCCCCCTCCCCCCACTGCCCAGCGGCCTCTCCCCAGGCCTTTCCTGCAGGCTCTGGCTCCCAGGGGCTGTGCTCGAGCCCCGACAACCGCTGTTTAAAGGGGGGAAGCTAATTCAGCCTCACTCTGAGGCCGGGCACGAGGATGGTGAGGGAGAAGTGACATGTTTACACCCATTGGGTGGTCTCTGACCCACACGTTTTCTTATTCACCATCATGGTGACGCCGTGAGGGGGGTGTTGTCTTCATTTAACAGGAGAGGGAAGGAAGCAAGGCACCGACACTCGGCCTTTTTCTCCTTTTATCTTGTTGTTGTTGTTGTTAAGTCCTCACCTGAGGATACTTTTCCATTGGTTTTAGGGAGAGTGAGGGAGAGGGAGAGACAGAGAGAAACATCGATGTGAGAGAAACACATCAATGGGTTGCCTCCTGCATGCACCCCGACCAGGGCCTGGGCCAGGGAGGAGCCTGCAACTGAGGTACGTGCCCTTGATGGGAATTGAACCCGGAACCCTATGGTCCGCGGGCCGACGCTCTATCCACTGAGCACACCAGCCAGGGCTGCCTTTCCCTCCTTTTACTGTGGAGCACAGAGGCTCAGGGTCAACGTGAACTGCTTGGGGGGAGGCGGAGTCCGTTCCTGCTGCAGATCCCCCTCCCCTCCACCTGCATGCACACGAGGACGTGCAGCCTCCTGTGGGCCCTGGGCTGCTAATGTGGTTTTCTAGGTCAAGGACCTCCGGCCACTTCCTTGGGGCACCTCCCGTCGGAGGGGGTCTCGGGAGGGAACCTCCATCACTCGCTCTCCAGCCAGACACTTCCACCTGTCGCAGCTCCCACCCGGGCGCTGTGGCTGTGAACGTCAGGCTCTCTCGCCGTTTGTTCTTCCATAGTCTCAGTTTTGTTTCCGTTGCTTCCTTCTTTTTAAATTGATTTTCCAGTGGAGTTTGTATTTGGGGACTGAATTGCACCTAGTGAGTGTGCCCTCTCTCTCCCGTCTCAGCTACTACCGTGTGTGACCCAGAGACGCAGTTCCGCTGCCAGGAGTCGGGGACCTGCGTCCCGCTCTCCTACAAGTGTGACCTGGAGGACGACTGTGGCGACAACAGCGACGAGAGCCACTGTGGTAAGGGGGCAGGTCGAGCTGCTCCGAGGAGGCCGCACGGGGGTTCTGAAAGCCACGTGGGAGTTAGAGGCGCCGCTGCCGACCCTCCGCCACGCGGGGCCTGGCTCGCCCTGGAGCAGCGCCGGCTCACCGCGCAGGGATGCCGCGAGCATGGCCGCAACAGCGAGGAGGGGGTTCTGATGAGCTCAGTGCTTGTCAGAGCCGAGCCCACGGCCCTCACCTCTGGGTGGCTGGGAGGTCAGCCTCCTGAGGACACATATCTGCACTCTGTGAACCGTGTTATTTTTCTTTTTATTTTTTTTTATTGATTTCAGAGAGGAAGGGAGAGGGAGAGAGAGAGCTGGTCCTGGGGCTGAGCTTGCGTCTGGCAGGGCCTGCTCGGCAGCAGGGTGCTGACTCACAGGGACTAGGCTCCTGTCTGCCTCTCAGAGCATTTTTGAGGGGAATTACATAAATTTTTTCATCTTTGTAGAAATACGAAGTGCAGAACAGTCTGTGGGATGCACAGCTATTTTCCCTTCTTGCCGCCCATCTCCTCCTCGACACTGGAGGGCTCAGTGCTCAGGAGTTCTGCTCTGGTGGGAAGGAAGCTGCGTGTTGCATTGCTGGCGGCATCTCCCTCCCTCACTGGCACGTGTTTGACCATTAAAGCCACAGCACCTTCAGATCCCCGCCCGTTAGCGGGTCCTCAACCTGCCGGAGGGCCGTGGTCCCTCCGCAGGCCCAGCCTTTCCCACGAGTAGCCGAGTCTCCAGCTTCACAAGCAGCCTGGCTCTTGAGGAAGGCCAGCGAGGCCGCCACGCTGGGCCAGAGGCTTGGCTGCTACTGTTGTTGAAGCTGTTTTAAAATTCCACTTCTTCTTTTTGAATGTGTTTTTATTGATTTCCGAGAGGGAGTGAGAGATGAACATAAGAGAGAATCATCAATCGGCTGCCTCCTGCATGCCCCACACTGGAGATTGAGCCTGCAACCCGGACATGTGCCTGGGACCTCCTGGTTCACAGGTCGACGCTCAACCACTGAGCCACGCCGGCCCGGCTAAAATTCCATTTCAAGGGGCTGCTTCACTGCTACGCTCAGGACACCATCCCGGGGCATAGCCTCCTTCCGGGTCCTGGCAGGCCGGCTGCCCCCCTCCCTCTGGGACAGCCCGCAGCCAAGCCCTGGGCTCTGCTCACAGCGGCCCCAGCCCCCTCTGTGGGCAGGTTCAGCACTGACCCTCCCGGAGCTAAGCTCCCTCGGGACTGGTCATTGCTCCTTTTCTGCGGCCACAGGCTCTGTCTCTGGAAGCTTCTGTGTCTTTAATTCCACTTTCTGGGCAGCTAGAGGGTGCTTCCCTCCTCCCCATCAACAGGCGTGGGAATGAAGGTTTGTCCAGTGCATGGAGCTGATGGATGCTCTTCCCAGAGGCAGGCGCTGAGGGGGTCTCAGGGCACTGGCCCAGCGGGCCTCCTCGGTGCCTCCCTCCCTGGTTAATCCTCGCCTGCTGCGGGGGGCCGTCGATGGGGCTGGGTGCGCTGTGACCCTCGGGACTCGGCCGCAGGGGCCGAACCCGCGCGCTGTCCTCACCCCTGGCTTCACCTGCAGAGACGCACCAGTGCCGGGACGACGAGTACAACTGCAGCTCGGGCCTGTGCGTCCGCGCCTCCTGGGTGTGCGACGGCGACAATGACTGCAGGGACTGGTCCGACGAAGCCAACTGCACGGGTCAGTGTCCGCACGCGGTCCTGGGTCCTGGGTCCTGGGTCCTGCTCCGCTCCTCATGGGAACCTGCTGGGGCCCAGCGTCTGGGCTCTGAGAAACAGGCCCAGACACCACCCATCGGTGCTGCTCCACAAGCTGGCCCAGCCGCTCAGCACGAAGGCAGACCGCCCCGCCTGCACTGAGGGGTCTCCTGCGAGAGCGTTCTGTGAACTGAGCGTGTCCCGAGTGCACGGCGTTGGTTGGTTGGTGTGCGGGCTCGAGCTGCGCTTCCTTCAGGACCAGCAGAAAGCAGCTCCCCGCCGGCCCCTCGTCTGGGGCCATGTGTGGAGGGCACTGAACCAGCTCATGTTTCTGAATCTCGGGGCATCACGGGTTCCCCGACTTTGAGAACGTAAACGGTGCTTGCATCTCTTTGGGGTGAGCGTTCATTAAAAATGAACCTGGAAACAACTCGAGAACATCAGCGAAGGCTGATCCTGTGGTGTGAGGTCGAGGTGCTGTTCTGGTTCTGCTGAGGAACGGGCTCCTCTTGTGATCACTCAGCTTTTGTGGCTGGCTGAGTGCAGGAATGTGTATGCAGCTTGGGGTGGGCAGAGCTGGGGACGTGGGGGAGGAATGAACAGGACTTCGGTGCCTCCTGTGGACTTCCCCGCACCCAGCTCCACACTGCCCTCCGGCCCTGGCTGTGCTTCCACTGCCTCCCGATGGTTCTCCTTCCTCCCGCCCATGGGGGGGGGGGGGGTGTGAGCTCATTGAGGTGTGGGCCTGGCGCTTCACTTCCTCGCCAAGTAAATGGTGCAGAGCCCAGAAAATAGGCCGGCAGCCGACCTGCTGCCCCGCTGCCTGCTGGTCTGTGCGGGGCGTGCTCCTTGCTTTCCGCTCCCCCCTTCGCTTTCCGTGGAATTGAGGCACTTCCCACCCCTCGGCATCGGCTGTGACCTTAAACATCTGACTTGTGTGCTTCTACCTGTTACTTTCTGTGTGTTCTTCACCGACTTCCAGACCTGCAAGGGCTTCAGAATGCTTTCATCCTGATCGCTGCACGCAGTGCCAGTACTTAGCACTTAAAACACTGAGTACTTTGTGTTTCGTTCTACAATTCAAAAGCCCTACAGTTAGTAATTCTTATTATTTTTTAGTGATAACTCACTAGGGTACCTCCCTCTTCTCCAGTTACCTTTGCTTCTGTAACCAGTGCTCCCGTGGCCCCGCAGTGTTCCTGAGTGAGCGGTGAACTCTTTGAGGCTCTGTTGGTGTAATCACGCCTCCGTTTTACTCTCGGTCCTGAGGGCAGGTGCACCTGCATGTCCTGGTGTGCGGTCCCTTCCGTACGTGCTTCCATGGAGTCTTTCTGCCTCCTCCGGGCTGAGGTCAGTCCTCCTGAGGGTTCCTGCTGAGCGTGATTGGCACCATCTCCAGTTCTCATCAGCGTTCGTTTTGTGTGTGTGTGGTGGGCGGGCCATTGCAATGCAGTGTCACCTGCGAGGTGTGGCATCATTTCTATGCTGCTGGCTTCCTTTCCAGATGACGAGGATCTGCTGTTCTCCTTGGTTCTGGGACATGGCAGCCTCGTCTTCTCGCGGTGTCTCCTGCTCTCTCAGGGCTTGTCCACTGTGGCCACAGCCGCACTCCGTTCTGTCGCTCCCGCCTCCCGTGTCTGTGCTGTCTCTCCGTCTGCTGGAATTTCCTTTCCCTTCTCAGCTTCCCCTTCTAGTTCAGCAGTTCTCTTTCCAGCTAAATCCAACCTGCTTCCCACACACCAGCCGAGCTGTTTCTATGTCCTGTTTTCATCTCTGGAATTCCTGTCTGGGTCTCTTTCAGACCTGACCTTTATGTCAGCGCCCTCGATGCTTTGTGTAGCTTTTTATGTCATCACCGTTCAAGTTGTGTTGACATTAGCGTTGTCCCCTCGCTCACGTCCCCGCGGAGCAGGGTTTTGTGGTGCTGAGGCCCAGCTTCTCTCACCATCTGATCACGCTGCCCTGCCTGCCGTGGTTGGTTCATCTGTGAGGGGGTGTGGAGGGGACCTGCCGAGTGTGGGACAGTGGCCTCTGGGAGAACCCGGTGTGTCCTGGCTTCGTGATTGTTCCTCCGGCAGCTCTTCCGAGTCTGACCGTCAGTCGTCTTGCCATGCGGAGGATGGCTCTTTACCTTCCCCAGACTCTTCAGTCTGTACCAAAGTCAGTTTCTCTCACCCTGTCATTAAACACACTGTTTACCGGACCCTCAGTCTCGGGGAGCTCGTAGTTCCTCGGAAGACGGGGAGTCAGGAAGGCGAGTCCTTGCACACGCGGGAGATCGCGCCGACCGGTCAGGCTCTGCGTTCGGCCGCTGTGGGGTCTGGCGGTCTCCACTCGCCTCTCAGAATTCCGGCTTGAAACCCGTGAGCCCTCCAGAATGGTTTCAGTTAGACATGAAGTGCATGGGCCACACAACAACAACCAGGTCTGTATGGAAATGAGTTCCAGCAAGCGTCTTATGAGAATGAGCGAGGCTTTGGTGAGGGACTTGTTTAAGGCTGTCAGGCTTGTAAAGCCAATAAATCAAAATGTTTCCGGGCAACGGCTGTTGCTGGGGCAAAGGCTCCTGCCACATGCCTGACACAGTTCTCCTCTTACCAGAGGCAGGTCTGCTTTAAGGGCCTGCAGTGGATCTGAGTGCCGAAGTCGAGTGTTGAGGCGTGTGGTCTGGGTGCATGCTGTCAGGTGCAGCGTGACCTTCAGAGAGATGTGAGGACAGCAGTGACAGGCCACCTGGCTTGCAAAGTCAGGCTCTCTGTATTTCAGACGATTGCAAACAGCCTTGGATGCAGGAGACATTCCCGAGAGCATTGGAACCCGTGTTCCCGCCCGTGGGCAGCGTATTGCGAACCGTCTCGCCTGGACCAGTCACTGCCGTGTGCGCCCACGGCCTGTTTGTTGTTGTTGTTGTTGCTCCTCCTGCTGTGAAGACGTAGAGAAACGGGCAGCGAGCCCGTCCAGCTCGGTTAGGCCTCGTGAAGCTGTGGTGAAGAGGGCGGCCGGCTCCCATGCAGTAACGAGCAGACAGGAGCCCTCCCGAGGGGAGGGGAGGGGCTGGCTGGGTTTGAGGCTGAGCGTCTACATTTGACTGGGCTTTTTGACAAATCTATATTTTTATTGCTTTCAGAGGGGAAGGGAGCAGGAGAGAGAGGGAGAAACATCAGTGACGAGAGAGAATCATGGATCAGCTGCCTCCTGCACGCCCCCACTGGGGATCCAGCCTGCAACCCGGGCATGTGCCCTTGACCGGAATTGAACACGGGACCGATGCTCTGTCCATTCAGCCAAACCAGCTAGGGCCTGACCTGGTCCTCGCCCAAGGCTTTGAGATGTTTCTAAATGACTCGCTGTGGCCGCAGCCCCGCGTGCCCAGGAGGCTGTTCACTGACCACGCGCCTGCCGTCCCCCTTACCTCCATTCTGTGATGGTTGCCGTGGGTACCGGGTACCCTGGTTGCCTGGCAGACGTTGATCTCGACGGTCCAGAAAGGTAGCCAAGTCCCGGTTCTGGGCTTGCTTTCCTTGTGATGGTGGAAAATCTGTTATGCTTTTGGACGTAAGGTTTTCCATGTTTGAAACTGGGCAGTTTATTTGGAATCTAAAGTTACGGCCTTTCCGAGCGTCCAGGTCCTTCGATGGCAGGACAGTGGGTGACATGGGCCCGGGCGGGGCTGGGCGGGGCCGGGGCCGGGCTCCTGCACCTGCCGTGGAGTCTCCGGTCGTTGGGGCCAGCAGGAGCGAGGGGTTACGTGAGAAGTAAAGTAGCGAAGACGAGTGGAAGCACGGGCTCTGGCCCTGGGCAGCCTGGTGCCGGTCCGCACCCCCTGTGCCTGTGGGCATGTGTCTGAGTCCCCAGGCCCGTTCCAGCTGCCGCAGGGGAATGGCGCTCCCCCTGGTGGTGGAAGCACAGCTTTTAGCAGGTCCCTCTGCTTGTGTAACATGGCCATCCCACCGCCTCAGGTGCCACCCTGCGGGAGGCTGCGCCCACCACTCACTCAGGCAGCCCCTCCTCGGCAGCTCCTGGAGGTCCAGGGGGAGCGAGAGCAGGGCGCTGACTGTTCTCTCTTCTCGTTGCCGGCAGCCGTCTACCACACCTGTGAGGCGTCCAACTTCCAGTGTCGCAACGGGCACTGCATCCCCCGGCGCTGGGCCTGCGACGGGGACCTGGACTGCCAGGACGGCTCCGACGAGGACCCCGCCAGCTGCGGTAAGTATGCACGTTCGGTCCACTCCTGAACGTCTCTAGCGTCCACCGCTCAGGAAGAAGCAGGACATGAGCACTGCCCTGCTGTGCCTGGGTGCCCACACCGACAGCCAAGTGTGCCCGGGTGCCCACACCGACAGCCAAGTGTACCCGGGTGCCCATGCTGACAGCCAAGTGTGCCCGGGTGCCCACGCTCACAGCTAAGTGTGCCCATGTGCCCACACTGACAGCTAAGTGTGCCCGTGTGCCCATGCTGACAGCTAAGTGTGCCCGGGTGCCCACGCTGACAGCTAAGTGTGCCCGGGTGCCCACGCTGACAGCTAAGTGTACCCGTGTGCCCATGCTGACAGCTAAGTGTACCCGGGTGCCCACGCTCATAGCCAAGTGTGCCTGGGTGCCCACGCTCACAGCCAAGTGTGCCTGGGTGCCCATGCTCACAGCCAAGTGTACCCATGTGCCCACGCTCACAGCCAAGTGTACCCGGGTGCCCACGCTGACAGCCAAGTGTGCCCGGGTGCCCATGCTCACAGCCAAGTGTACCCATGTGCCCATGCTGACAGCCAAGTGTACCCGTGTGCCCATGCTGACAGCCAAGTGTGCCGGGTGCCCACGCTGACAGCCAAGTGTGCCCGGGTACCCACGCTCACAGCCAAGTGTACCCGGGTGCCCACGCTCATAGCCAAGTGTGCCTGGGTGCCCACGCTCACAGCCAAGTGTGCCCGGGTGCCCACGCTCATAGCCAAGTGTGCCTGGGTGCCCACGCTCACAGCCAAGTGTGCCCGGGTGCCCACGCTCACAGCCAAGTGTGCCTATGTGCCCACGCTGACAGCTAAGTGTGCCCGGGTGCCCACGCTCACAGCCAAGTGTGCCCGGGTGCCCACGCTCACAGCCAAGTGTACCCAGGTGCCCACGCTCACAGCCAAGTGTGCCCATGTGCCCACCTTGACAGCTAAGTGTGCCCGGGTGCCCACCTTGACAGCTAAGTGTGCCCGGGTGCCCACACTGACAGCTAAGTGTTCCTATGTGCCCACACTGACAGCTAAGTGTGCCCAGGTGCCCACACTGACAGCTAAGTGTGCCCATGTGCCCACGCTGACAGCTAAGTGTGCCCGGGTGCCCACGCTGGCAGCCAAGTGTGCCGGGTGCCCACGCTGACAGCAGCGTGCCTGCGCCCACGATGGCAGTGCCATAGGACACGGGATGTGCAGCCAGTTCCCAGGCAGGCACGTGGCTCAGGCTTTCTGTGCAGCTTTGAAGGAAGAGCTGGTACTTTGTGAAAAGACTTCTCTGCTGCGGCCTCAGAGAGCATGGCTCCTAGCCCCAAACAGGCCTTTCTCCGCATAATGGACTTAAACAGAGTCCCGAGATAGTCAGTCGCCTTCACCACAGAACGGCTGCCGCAGAAGCACCATCTAGAGAACGCTGCTTCGCACCAGAGTGTCCAGGCTCCCTGCCCTGCCCCGCTCTCCGACTGCAGAAAGCCCTCCCGTGGCTGCCCTCGGCTCGGGTGCGCACAGAATTCTTGGCTTCCGGACAGTTCTCCAGCACCAGCTGGGGTCCCCTGGCCTGACTGTGGCACTGTTTTCCCCGAGCTACTAGCATCGGACCTCGCAGGTTCAGGGCTCAGTCCTGCAAGCCCCCCCCCCCCCCCCGACACTTTAGTGGCGATTTCAACCCCAGCTTCCCCTGCACTCCTGCCCGAAGCTGTGAGCCTGGGCTCCCAGGACGCCCTGCCTGGGTTTGGTCATTTGCTGAAACGTCTCTCAGACCTCAGAGTAACACTGGTTTATCATGGAAGGGATGACGGAGGGTGGAGGTGAGCATTGGACGGAAGAGAGGCACAGGGCAGGTGTGGGAAGGCGGCAGAGCTCCGTGCCTCTCCGGGTGCCGCCCCAGCCCCCCAGCCCCACCAGCGCTCAGCAGCCTGGACACTCTGGGCCTAGACTCTGGTTCTATGGAATCTTCACCACACGGCCCGCCTGGTGTACTCCCCGTCTCCATCCTTCTCTCCTCCTGGAGCAGGGAGGTGGGAGGCCCTGCTTCCTGACCTAGTGCAGGAGCCGCCGGTGTGATTTAAGAACAGGACACTCGTGTCCACCAGGGAAATGCGAGGGTTTTAGTAGCTCTGTGCCAGCAGCCAGAGGCAGAGACCAGTGTATTATTCCCAGTATTTACACCGTACGTTCCAAACTTCCATGGAGTGGGCGTCGTCTACGCGTTGTTACGCATGTGTGTTTGTGCAGTTAGCACTCCAGTGGCAGATGTGTATTCCCGTTGTGTTACTATCACTTACTTAGCTGCACCCCGGCTGGACCTCCAGGTGTGTTCAGTGTCGCACTGGTTTGCATAGTGAAGCTGCGCATGTCCTGGGAACGAAGGCGTATTTTTACCCTGAGGTGTAGCCGTCCCTTAGTCTGCAGGGTTGGTCCCAGGGCACCGGGATTGCGGCTGCCGCAGGTCCCCAGCCTCGGGCCTCGTTCGGGTGTCTCCAGGTGGTCTGGTAGGGTCCACGTTTTCACTGGTCCCATGTTCCCATTAGCAGTTCTGGACGTTATTTCCAAGTCGTTATACTGACAAGCATGTCCATCCGAGATGAGCTGTGTCTCCCCGTGGCCCTAGGCATCACCTCTTTCCTTCGCTTTCACAAGCTTCAGAGTGGGAGTCATCGCATGTCGTTTTAATTTTATACTTTTCAACTTTCAGACTCTGGCTTATTGCCCCAACTGCGGCACTCATTAACTGTTTCTGTTTGATGTCTCCCAAATAATTTCTTAGGAATGATTACTTTTTACAGGATTAAAGCATATTTTCTTTTTTTAATCTTTACCCATGAATATCTTTCCATTGATTTATTGATTTTTAGAGAGAGTGGAAGAGAGAGGGAAAGACAGAGAGAAACATCGATATGACAGAAACACATGGATTGGTTGCCTCCTGCAGGCTCCCCAACCAGGATCCAGGCCAGGGAGGAGCCTGCAACCGAGGTATGTGCCTTGACCGGAATCGAACCTGGGACCCTTAGGTCTGCAGGCCGACGCTCTATCCACTGAGCACACAGGCCAGGGCTTAAAGCACATTTTCCTGCCTTACCCCTGACCCTCCTGGGGCGGCTGCACCGAGGCTGTGTGTGCTCGGCCACCGGTGACCTGCTGGCGTGGCTCTGCTCAGGGGAAGCTGACCGGGGCTAGATTCTGTGCTAAGGCGGAAACCCACGTTTCTGCACATTTCTGGGACAAACTTTATCCAAAAGGGCTTTGGCTTAGAATTCATAAAGCATTCAGAGTGAGTGATGGAAGAGAACTTCCAAAACCAAGGTTTCTAATCAGGACGACGTTTTCTTTTCTCTTCACTGAAGCTTTTACTCTTTAAACAAGATGGACTTGAATTTTTTGAGTGGGGAACACATTCCCATGGTTTGAAATGGGAGAAGTATTGAAGTTACACAGTAAACACTTTCCCGCCCAGCTCCCACCTGTGCGCCCAGGAAACGGCACGGGGCCTTCAGCACAGCCCGGGCGCGTGCAGGCTCAGGTCTGCGCCGTTTGCTTCTCCACGAGCGTGTGCGCTGCCTGTTAGCACCTGCTTCTCACACGCCTGAGCGAGGCCCTGTGTCCACAGTGTTTCTTAGCTCTTCCTGGTGGTCAGTGCCCGCTGGCTGCACACGCAGGTGCCGTCCGGACAGGGTCTCGGTGAAGGGCCCGTGCGGGCAGGCTGCGTTCCTCCAGGCAGCTCTGCTGGCCACAGCGCGCACACCTGTCATTGCGAGGGCGCGGGACAAGTCCAGGCCTCCCGGCGCCTGCGTTTCCTCGTGGCCACGCTTCTCTTTCCATTTCAGAGAAGAGGTGCAACGGCTTCCGCTGCCCGAACGGCACCTGCCTCCCCTCCAGCAAGCACTGCGACGGCCTGCGGGACTGCGCGGACGGCTCCGACGAGCAGCGCTGCGGTGAGTCTGCCCCCCTCCCCCCGGAGCGCGGTGGTCGGGTGTGAAGAGAGTACCCCGTGGACGAAATCTCCGTGGTAGCGATGTGTCCTTCGCTTTAACCGCGCTGCCCCTGACTGCGAGGGAAAGTCCCCCGAGAAGCAGAGCCACTGGAGGTGCATTTGGTTCAGGGCTTGTCTCCTGCAGCGATGAAGGCTGGCGAGTCAGAACCTGCAGGTGGCCGGTGGGGGAGGCGGGGGGCGCCCTGGTGGCTGAGGCTGAGTCCAGGCCCCCGACTGACCTCTGTGTTCTCATGTGGCCTCGGCTCTGGGCTTGCATCTCCGGTCTTTCTTCTTGTAAGAATACTGTTCCTGCCCGGCCGGTGTGGCTCAGTGGTTGAGTGTTGACCTATGAACCAGGAGGTCATGGTTCAATTCCCCATCAGGGCACAGGCCCAAGTGGTGGGCTCCATGCCCAGTGGGGCGTGCAGGAGGCAGCCAATCAGTGATTCTCTCTCATCATTGATGTTTCTCTCTCCCTCTCCCTTCCTCTCTGGAATCAATAAAAATGTATTAAAAAATAATAATAATACTGGTCCTATTGGATCTGAGCTCTGCCCTGGCCTATTTAGCGTCCATCTGCCTCTTTTAACTGTATTTACTTCATTTACCTTAATTGCCCCTTTAAAGGCCTGTCTCCAAATACAGTTCCACTGGGAGTTAGGGCTTCAGCGTACACATTGGCGGGGAGGTGGGTACAGTTCAGTTTGACACGGGGCCCTCGCAGCAGCGTGTCAGCCCCTGTGTGAGTCACTTCACACTAACAGTGGCTGGGAACCTGGGCTGGGATGTCAGACAGCTTTGGATTTCGGCTTTGGCTCCACCCTCCTCAGCTTGCTGAACACTTCCTGGTACTGCCGCTGCCCGTGTTCCCATTTGGAAGCAGGACAGTGAAAGCTCATGGGATTGTGTTGAGAGCTCAGTCACGTCCTTGGGCATCATAAACCACGCGCTCGGTACATGGCGGCTCTCGCGGCTGCTTCCCGGGCGAGCACTGTGCCAGGTGCCCGTGAGCTCCCACCCTGTGCTCAGGGCCTCTCCTCCGCCCCTTTCAGAGCCACTCTGCACCCGCTTCATGGACTTCGTGTGCAAGAACCGCCAGCAGTGCCTGTTCCACTCCATGGTGTGTGACGGGGTGGTGCAGTGCCGGGACGGCTCGGACGAGGACGCTGCCTTTGCAGGCTGCTGTGAGTGGGCGGCCCTGGGGGCGGCTCACGTGGGGAGGTGCTGCCTCTAGTTACAGATTTGATTTTACATTTCCAGTCATGCATTTCCTTTTTTATTTTCAACATTTTAATATTTTATTGATTTCAGAGAGGAAGGAAGAGGAAGAGAGAAATAGAAACATCAATGATGATAGAGAATCATTGATCAGCTGCCTCCTACACACCCCCTACTGGAGATTGAGCCTACAACCTGAGCATGTGCCCTTGACTGGAATTGAAGCCAGGATCCTTCGGTCTGCAGGTTGATGCTCTATCCACTGAGCCAAACCAGCTAGGGCTGGTCTTGCATTTTCTGAGGAGGACACATGTTTCCTGCTTCAGGAGTCATGCTTAGTAGCTGCTGGTGCACGCACAGGAGAGACGGGGCGTGACCTGGGTTTGACGGGCTCTCCTGCCCATCCCTGGAGGCCTCGCCTGCTCGTGGCTTCACAGCTCTTGTCCCATGTTGCACAGTGTGTCAGCCTTCCTGCCTGTCTCCCGGGACCGAGGGTGCCCCGAGCAGGCAGAGCCTGGTGTCTGCTGGGCCACCTGCTGGGACGGCCCTGCAGGAAGTGCGTGCAGCATTCGTTGGCTTGGGCGGCCCCAATGAGGGACCATGGACTGCAGCTTAAATGTCAGAAATGCATTTCCTCTGGCCCGGGAGCCTGGGACTCAGGCTCAGAGTGTTGGCAGGTTTGCTCTCCTCTGAAGCCTGTCTCCTCGATGTGTAGGTGCCCAGCATCTCCAGGTTCTCACATGGTCTCCCTGTGCCTGTCTGTGTCCCCATCTCCTCTCCTTTTAAGGACCTTAGTCATATTGAGTCAGAGTTTCACCCTGATAACCTCACCTTAAGACCTTATCTACAGCCCGGGCTGGTTTGGCTCAGTGGATAGAGCGTCGGCCCAGACTGAAGGGTCCCAGGTTAGAGTCTGGGCAAGGGCACCTACCTTGATTGCTGGCTCTCCCCAACGTGGGCCCTGGTCGGGGTGCGTACAGGAGGCAACCAGTCGATGTGTTTCTCTCACATCGATATTTCTCTCTGTCTTTCCCTCTCTCTTCCACGCTCCCTGAAAACCAATGGAAAATTATCCTTGGGTAAGGATTAACAAAAAAAATAATAATCCCATATAATAAAAGCCTAATATGCTAAGTGTCCGACCGTTCGACCAGTCACTATGACATGCACTGACCACTGGGGGCAGATGCTCCAACCGGTAGGTTAGCTTGCTGCTGGGGTCCAGCTGATGGAGACTGGGTGAGATGGGCCGGACATGCCCGGGAGCCCCCCATGGTCCCTCCCCGGCCCTGACCATGCACCGGTGGGGTCCCTCGGCCTGGCCTGTGCCCTCTTGCAATCCGGGACTCTTCAGGGGATGTCGGAGAGCTGGTCTTGCCTGATCCCCGCAGGCTAGGGCGAGGGACCCCCACCGGTGCACGAATCCGTGCACCAGGCCTCTAGTAAATAAATAATGACCTTACCTCCGAATTCTGAGATACGGGGGACGCCTTCACCACTGACCTGCTTTCAGGACTTCTCCATGGAGACTCCCTCCTCCTCCTGCCACAGCCGCGTCACTAGGAACTCTTTGGTGATGAGGTAGCCGGGATCTCACGGACATTTGTCTCTTGTCCAGCCCAAGACCCCGAGTTCCACAAGGATTGTGACGAGTTCAGTTTCCAGTGTCAGAACGGCGTGTGCATCAGTGTGGTCTGGAAGTGCGACGGCATGGACGACTGCGGCGACTACTCGGACGAAGCCAGCTGTGGGGAGGCCGCAGGTCCGTGCCTCCCACGCCTGCTCTGGGGCCGCGGGCCCTGTGGTCAAGGAGGGGCCCTCACTAGTGCCCTTGCACCCCACCTTCACCGCCGCCTCCCTTGGCAGTATTTCCTGCCAGTTCTTGAATCTCCATGTAGGAAACTGAGTGTGAACTGGCCCTGACCCCCAGCAGGGCTGGAGGTGGCTTATTCCATTTCACTGAGTCGGGGACCTGGCGCTCTGTGTAAGGTGGGAGGGAGGTGTTAAGTGGTAAATATTGCGGAGGAGGCTTCCCTCTGCTTCTACAGGTTGTAGATGCCAATGGAATAGCAGCACTGTTACCACTGTGTTATCAGGAGCAAGGCCGTGCCTTTGGTAAAGTGTGAAAATTGAACACTGGGTGTCATTTGCAAGATCCATGGACGTGTGAGTCCGAGACACCTGAGTCGGGTCCGGGAAGGTGGGCTCTTACTGAGTGTGTCACCGCTGGGTCCCAGAGGCTGCCTGATCCACCTGGTGGCAGGCGGCCGCCCCGGGACTCGGTGTGGAGGAGGCTGTGCCTACATCGCAGCTTCACGTTCCCGCTGGGCGGGGCCCACAGCCGGTGCTGTGTTTTTCCCCAGAAAACCCCACCGAAGCCCCCAACTGCTCCCGCCACTTCCAGTTCCGGTGTGAGAACGGCCGCTGCATCCCCAGCCGGTGGAGGTGCGACCGCGAGAACGACTGCGGGGACTGGTCCGACGAGGAGGCCTGTGCAGGTCGGTGGTCCCAGCGCCGCCCACAGCCGGCCTCGGAGGGGCCCGGCCCCTTTAGTGACTTGGGGGGTAGCTCTCTGAATTCTGTCCCCTTCTTAGTTGGATACTAGAGTGGCTGCTTCTGTTTCTGGGGCTACGCACCCCAGTTCGCAGGCGCAGGAAGGACCCGGGGCCTGGCTGCTCCTGGTGTGGCCTGCAGACCAGCAGCCTTGGTCTTTCCTCAGCGCAGTCAGAATGTCCGACCTCACCCAGAGCCCACATTTTAACAAGCTCTTCAGGTGCCATGTGCCTCGAGCCACGTGCCTGGTGCCTGGTGCCTCATTGGACCCAGGTGCCCGGGGCCTCGGTTCCACGTGCCCTGGTGCTCCAGGGCCTTGGAGCCATGGGCCTCGCGCAGTCGAGAGGCACTGAGGTGCAGTGCATGTGTCCCTTTTGCTTTTGGTTTCCTTGTCTCTGAGCCAGGCCTCTGGGTGGCTGTTGTGGGTGGAATTAACCAGAACAGTGTTCTACCCCCCACCTGTGCATCTGAGTCACCTTCCTTTCAAAGCAAACGCATCCGAGTGTGATTAGCTCAAGTCAGATACAGCAGGTGAGGTGCTGCTCCGGAGAGGAAAAGCAGGGTCCGCTCCGACCGCCAGGCTGATGGTTTTGAGAGGAGCTGCAGTTCAGAACCTCGCTGGGCACGGGGCTGGGTGGTGCAGCTGAAATGGGCGTCCACACGAGTTTGGGACCTATTTTGGTCTCAGACTGAACTTCTTGTAACTGTTTCTTTTTTTTCTTGGTGTTTCCTCAGATTCACACATTCTCCCCTCCCCCACTCCTGGGCCTGCCACATGTCCACCTAATTACTTCCGCTGCAGCGGCGGGGCCTGCGTGATGGACATCTGGGTGTGCGATGGCTACCGGGACTGCGCGGACGGCTCGGACGAGGAAGCCTGCCCTTCGCCCGGTGAGTGCAGCGCCCTCTGCCTGGCACCTGCTCTGTGGGGAGGACCTCGGGGTCACCCCGGCACCTGCTCTGCGGGGAGGACCTCGGGGTGACCCCGGCACCTGCTCTGCGGGGAGGACCTCGGGGTCACCCCGGCACCTGCTCTGCGGGGAGGACCTCGGGGTCACCCCGGCACCTGCTCTGCGGGGAGGACCTCGGGGTCACCCCGGCACCTGCTCTGCGGGGAGGACCTCGGGGTCACCCCGGCACCTGCTCTGCGGGGAGGACTTCGGGGTCACCCCGGCACCTGCTCTGCGGGGAGGACTTCGGGGTCACCCCGGCACCTGCTCTGCGGGGAGGACCTCGGGGTCACCCCGGCACCTGCTCTGCGGGGAGGACCTCGGGGTCACCCTGGCACTGCAGGGCCAGGCTGGTGCCTGCTCTCTGGAACTTTGAGCTCAGAGGCCAGGCTGCTCCTCACTCCAGAGCAGGGTTCTCATGGGAACGGGAACGGGAACTGGGGTGTCTCGTCTCCTATAATTGCTCTCTGATCTTCCTGCGAGAGAGGGCAGCCTCCCGTCTCCCACCCGCTGCGTTGGGGCACCTTTGCTCTCCTCCCAGGAACTGCCATGGGAGCGATGGTGGTGGGGACGGGGGGGGGTGTTGGTGTGGGCGGGAGCCCAGCTTCCCTGCTTATGGGCGGCTCTCCTACTGAAAGGCGGGGGAGCCCTGCCATCTAGTGGCCGGATCAGCCGCGGCTGAACGTGTGCAGAGGCCGGGCCGCAGGAGGCTGGGCGCAGGAGACCCCATCCGGTGCGCCCTTAGCTGCCCAGAGGCAAGGGTGCCGCTTCAGGCTCAGTTATCCCAAGAGTTGTTTGCCAGGCTTTTGTTGGCAAACGCCTCGGCCGCCACCTGCTTTTCCTCCTCCCAGATGGTTCCCACGCTGCTGCCCTGCCCTGTTCAGAGGCTTCAGTGCTTCCTTTTGTCCTGGGTCCAGGGGCTAGACCAGCCCCTGCCCTTCCCATCGCTTCTCACACCCGTGCTGGGCCCGCTGCGGCTCCACGCCTGCTCTCGCCGTTCCTTCCGCCCGGTTTGCTTTGTCAGAGTCCTCTGTCCTCCTTGACCTTGGAGGACAAGGTTCCCCTACTTCCCTACAGCGACGCCCACCGTCCAACAGACAGGGCATGGGTTTCACAGCTGGAGAGACCAGGATGTGGTCAGTGTTTCTCTGAGCCCGAACCCGCTCCCTGCGAGGGAATCCCGGGTGGTGGTGGCCGTAAAGGTGGAGCCAGGAGCTCCCGTATGCTCACAGGCCCCTGAGTGCGGGCTTCCTCCTCCAGCCCCTCCTCACAGAGCCTTTACATGATGTCGATCTCTTTCCCAGCCTCAGTGAAGTACCTTCTGATTCTTGACTGATTGGCTGGCCATTGCTTCCTACATTTTCATGTGTGTAAATATCTTCTGCCCATAGTGACGTGTGTGCCTTGTGTGGGGGGTCATGCATGCTACGTTGACTCCACCGCTGTGCGTATCACAATAATAGGCAAATAATTAGGTGTCCCATACATGCTTCTCAAATTAAACTGATTGGAAAACCCCCAAAACAAAACAAAACACTTCGATCTCTGCTTCCCCCCAAGGCCCGCCTCCCTATTCAGTAACTGGATCATCCTTCTCTGCAGTGTCTTTGAATGTTGAAACTCTGATGAAGACGTTAAGAAACTAGCGAGTTCCGACTCATCCCATGAATGAGCAGACTCCTGGTTAGGTATCCCTTCAGCTCTTGTGAAGGTTTGTGTTTCTGATGCACATTGTTGGAGCACCTTTAGCTCGGTGGGGTCTCGCTGCCGGATGTCACTCAGTGGGACCGTCACCTGCTGGTTCCCCAGAAGCCACACACGAGGCGAGATTGTACCCTCCCTGTGCCAGAACCTTCTACAGGCTCCCTGTGGTCCAAGTGTGAGTGCAGGACTTACTGTGACCAGCTCGTTAGCCTCATTTTTGCCTCCTTCTCCACAGACCTGTGTTCACAGAGTGCAGGGGGTGGGAGAGGCCCCTTTGGAAATTCAGTTAAACTATGAAGACACAGACTGTGTGAAAGTTGAGTGGTTGCTGTGTGGTGGCTTGTTAGTGGGGTTATGTGTACCATTTGCTAGTGCTCCCCACCTGTCAGTAGCCTCTCAGTCATTTCCCAGAGTCAACACATCAGATGATCCTCAGCTCCAGTGTGTCTTGGCACTCCCCCTTCCCCCTCTGGGCCTCCCCCTCCCCCAGCTGGGCCTCCTCCTCCTCCCACCTGCGTCTCCCCCGCCCCCCTCTGGGCTCCCTCCTCCCAGTTGGGCCTCCCCCTCCCCCAGCTGGGCCTCTTCCTCCCCCACCTGGTCCTCCCCCTCCCCAACTGGGCCTCTTCTTCCCCCACCTGGCCTCCCCC